AGAGAGAGAGAGAGAGAGAGAGATGAGTTCTGAACCAAATCACTTACGGCGGGACACGACATCAACGTGGCCATAATGCGTCTTCAGTTCCATATATGTTCTTCAGGAATGAATCTGGAAGGTGTGTATGAATAAACACCATGCAATATTAACACTGTAGCGTAAGGAAAATCCCGGTTTTCGACACGGTTGGGAAGTGGGTGCCACTTATGTTGCGAGACGGCAACAACGTCTTCATATACGGCCCCGACTTCCCAACCACATCGTCACATGCAATGGACATGTGATATGGTAATAAGAATATCTAATATGTGTGTGTGTGTGTGTGTGTGTGAGAGAGAGAGAGAGAGAAAGAGAGAAAACCCTATAATTTTCTCCGTTTCAATTGTTCCTCTGATGTTCGACCCATGTCCATAGCAGCATCGATATTGTCGTCTTTCGTGGCACACAGAAGGAGTGTTGGTTGTGCATGTATAATTGCAGCCGTTGTTGACATTGTGGGGTGCACGGTGGCACCGCATGCAGTGACAGCTGCTCCGTGTATGACGCAACTCAGGTTCACACCCCATGACATCGATGTCGTCAGAATGGTCTTCTTCTGTATGAGAACAAACCATGATTTTCTAGTGCGAGTCCAACGTTTGCCGGTTTCGATGCACGACATAATCGTCTTGATAGCTACGAAGTGTAGAAGCCCGTCCGGTGTTGCCACCTTGTCCACAACACGTATCAATGGATGCGGTTTCGAGAAATAACGCGCCAACCTCAAAATCGCATGACACCAGCCTTTCGTGGTTTGACCACCACCTCGTTTTACGTCCCAGTAAAGGTCGTATTCCTCGCCCTCCTTATCGCTGTTGATATCACTGCCACTCACCTCCAAGTCCCGTAAAGCCGGGTTCTCTTGCTGCGGTCGTGTCTGCGCATCGCCCTTGTCATCAGAACGAACCACCGCATCATCTCCCTGCCAAGACGGTTGTTCACCCCCTTCGTTGAAGTCACCTGAAGGACGTATGGGTGCCAATCTCCACTCACTGAATCCGCCATGGACAGTCCGGGCATCCGCAGCAGGATTCTTCAACACGGTCGTCACATCCGAGAGAGATACAGCGCCACCTACGTCCTGCACTATTATGTCTCTTGTGTGTGTCCTTGTGCTATTGTGTTCTCGGACAACGATTTCCCATCCTTGCTTTCTCTTCCTCCTCCTGTCCACGTCCGTCAATGCCGCGGTGAGCTCCTCTACAGCCTCGAATATGTTCCCTCGGGGCACAGGATCTCCCGATACAAGGTCGAGTGTGCGACCCTTTACGCACTCGACATCGACAACCTCCGCTGCTGCTATTGCGTCCTCCGTCACCTCATGCAATGCCTCGTGAATGAGGTTCTTGTCCTCGCCTCCACTCTTCATGAAGTGCACAATCTGGTCAAGTAGCACATACTCGACACCGTCCACCACCATTGTCGCCAGTTCATGGTAGTCGACAAGATCTCTTTGTGCCTCCTCGTTCATCCTGCTCAGCGCCAATATCTCCGCAGCGTTCGGCTTCAATTCTTCACCACCCCCTGTCTTCAACATTTGATTTTCCCTCGTCTGGAATCTCACAAATTTCTTGAACGTCGCCGTGTCGTACGAACCTCCTCCCTCTCTTTTTGTCCTGTCGATGTCTTGGTTGTTGCACATCCAGTCCACAACTCCGTGAAGAGTGTTCACAGAGCACTCCGTCATGATGTGGTCGTCATGCACGCCGGCATTTTGAGATAAGCGCAGCAGCAACTGCTGTGCTCTTGTTGACCTGTCTCCGTTTGCCTCCACTGACTGCTGAACGTCAACCCTCATGTCAAAGAACGTCGGCGCTCTTTGCCGTAACAAATCCAGCTCCTCGTCGTTGTCGTAGTGGATTCCCTCTGTTGCGTATCTCATTACCTCTCTCTCCGCTCTCTCCACTTGATCCGCCGTCATCGGTGTCATTTTTCTGTGTTTTAATGTGTCCGGCTGTCAGTGGCACCAAAACAGTCGCGGTAAGTCGAAAGACGGTGGTGGTGGTGGTGGTCCTTGGTGGTGGTGGGGGGGGGGAGGGCACGGAATGGCAAAGCCGATTGTTTCGGCCTCTCAAGAACACCCTCAAAGGGACTTCTCTTGCGTCTACGCGTCTGTGCACATGTGGTCATGACTTATGATGCATCAGGATATTTTTCAGCCACTGTATGTGGAAGTGTTAACTTGCATGAAAACTCACCGATTCTTCTGTCGAGAAACAAGTGTGACCATCCATACGTCACGGTTGTCCACATGACCATTGAGACACGCACAACGGGACAAACATAAGAAAGGAAAACAGAATGTCATTACCACACAGCATCCTCACACACCGACCCACCCTCTTAATATGAATTGCAGCAATAAAAGGAAAAACGACCGAGACACACAAACGAAGCAGCAGACAAGGGTCTGCAAATTTCCGTCTTAGTTCGTGGTCAACCAAAGACATGATTAGAGAAAATGAATGTACAGATGTCATTGTTAATGACGGCATTACAAAAATCGAGGACCTATGACCCGAACACATGATCGCACGCACACACACACACACACACACACACACACATACACACACACACCTGTGCAAACACACAGACCCGTTCTCCTCCAACCAGACTCATTTCTTTTTTTCCTGAGGCGCCCTGCTTTTCACCGGCTTTCCTTTTCTCTTTGACGCCCCCCTTGCCTCCCCTCTCCCTGTTCAGCAGACCCGGGCGCTGCTTGTTGTGTGTTCGTCTCATCAGCGCTCGCCCTCCTCCTCTCCTGTCGTTGTCTATTCAACTCTTTCTCGTCGAGGATGCCTTTGGTGAAAACTTGCCAATGCGGATTTTGCAATGCGCCAACGAGCCTCATGTCCCGGGGCAAGATCGTGACCCGCTTCGAATGGATTGCAACCTCGTTCGTGCTCTCCATAAGATGCACAACATAGGTTTCAACTGCCTCCAGAAGTGCTCGAATGGCAAGCATCCCGAACCGCACAGGCTCTGTTGCGACCTCTTTTTTCTTCACAATGTCGCGCACAAGCCTCACAAACGGTCTGTAGATGCAAAGTTCTGTGCTGCATTGCAGTCGGCGCATCTCTGCCACAGCAGCCTTTCCGGGCCGGCGATTGGGCCTCGGTGGCCCTTAACTCCCTCCAATTTTCCGGCATGTGTCACCATCCATTGCTGCCCCCCCTTGGCCCCTCCCCCTTCCTCTTCCCCTCCCACCATCCAGTGGTGCCCCGCCCCCCAGTCCCTTACCTCGACCGCCTCTCCCTCGTACCGTCGTTGTCCCCTCGTTGTCGCATTTGGTTGTTGCTTTCTGCTTCGTTCCTTGGCCCGTCCGCCTGCTGCCATCGGAGCACACTGTGCCGGTCACCGGCGCGCTCCTCCCCACAACAGCACGTCCTGCACCCGAGTCTGCAACCGGACCGTCAACGTCGCATCCCCCGGGGCCGTCGTGTGGGGGTCCGTTTACCTCGCCTGCCGGTTGTCTCGTCTCTTCGGACTGAGGTTCTCCAATCCCCGCATTCTCATTGTTCCCTTTCATGTCCTCCCTTGCCATGTACTCTATGTGCCGCAACAAACCATCAGAGTACGTCACCAGAAATGGAACACCCAGAGAATTGCTATTGGTTGCGGAAAAAGGGGGGGAAAATAGCGTGGGGAGATACTGTGGGTGAGTGGGGTAGGAGAGGAGGGCAGGAGGGGAGTAGGACAGTAAAGATGACGAGCACTGAGAGTAGGTGGGACGAGCAGCCAGACAGGATGAATACAACTGGTGAATGGGGATAGGGGAGCGAAAGGGAGGTGCAGGGTGGGTGGGATAGAGACGTATTAACGGATACGAGGGAGGGGGAGGGATGGGGAGGGGAGGGTGAATAGGGCGGAGTGGGGGAGGAGAGAGAGATTAGGTAGGACAAGTGAGCACGGCAGGGTGGGAATCGTAGGAAGACACACACACACACACACACACACACACACACACACACATACATATGCTCTCTCTCTCTGTCTCTCTCTCTCTCTCTCTCTCTCTGGCTTTCTCTCTCGTTCACACACATACACACAAAGGAAAAAAAAAAAAAAAAAAAAAAAAACACTCACCTTCACAGGACGGGCGATAGTGAACGCCAAGGCAGCGAGCTCCAAGGCAGCAAACTCGAAGACCATGAACTCCGAGGCGGCCAACGCGAAGGTCGTGAACTCCAAGGCGGCAAAGGCCGTGAACTCCAAGGCGGCGAACTCAAAGGCCGTGAACTCCAACACCGTGACCTCCAAGGCGGTGAACTCCAACGAGCGAACGTGACGAGACTAACAGCAGCAGCACTTCCCGTGGTGGCGCATCAAAAAGCACCTACTTCAAATTCGAATTTCTGGCGCCATTGCTGTGAGGGCATGGAGGACAGATGCATGCCCCTCACGAGGGCATACCTGGAGCGACCGCTGAACGGGACCTGGGGTCCAGTAAGGGCGTCGCGGAACGTTGCGCCAGGACCGGGCTGTTTGTGTCCTTCTTTCCCTGGGGCACGACAGAGTAAGTGGGCCTTCAGAGGGGTGTGGTGCAGATAATCAAAATTTGATGGGCATATTGAAACTTCGGATATTCTTTTTTTTTTTTTTTGCAAAGGGCAACGACCTTGAGAGGACTCTTCAACCGGGACCCTGGAACAAACTGTTCCAGTCGGCCGCACAGACCGACATCAGGCCGACAACGATAGGCCTGTGTATCTAGTCTAGGGTAGGCTAACGCTAGTTCCTTTTTTTTTTTAGAATAGCCCTTGTGTAAGCCCTCTATCCCGGCAGTGGTAGGAGAACCGCCAGAATTGAGGATTTATTTGTCGGGCTGCTCCATCTATTGGTGGGGAGCAGCACCTACTGGAAACCGGGTCCGGCGGTCCATTGATACATCTTGTAATGTTGAGATTGCTGTTTTTTTTTTTTTTTTTTTTTTTTTTTTGAGAATAGCCCTTGTGAAAGCCCTCTATCCCAGTGGTGGTAATAGAACCGTCATAATTGAGGGCTTAGTCAGTGGTAAGAGAACTGTCAGAATTTGAGGGCTTATCTGTCGGGCATCTCCATCTATTGGTGGGGAGCCGCAGCTGCTGGAAACCGGGTCCAGCAGCCCATTGATAACGCTAGTTTCTTAGTCTACATAATAGTAGTAAACCAGTAGAGCTACAGTACTTAGTCGTGTGTTTATCATTTCAATGTTTGTGCATTCCTCATAAGCTAGACTGGCTTAGTCTAGTGTCTAATGCCAACACTCTCCCACACACCGCACACAACCCACTCACACACACGCATACACACATGTGTTGGCCAAGGACCCTGCTAATACAGATCAGAGGTATCAAGCAGACTATCGCCACTGGTTGACAGTAAGTGCGCCGCAAGCAGTTGTGGGGCTCAAACGCTCAACGTCCTGAATGCCACTTGCGTGACGATGAAAAGGGAGGCACAACTACTAGCAAAATGAGAGAGCCTTGTGTTAGCTGGACCCCCACCGGCGGCCCCACCCATCCTTACCCACCATGGTCGGGGAGGGCAACATGCATCCCCTATGATGGCTGGAGTGAGACAACAAAGCTATGCTTGCAGGTGTCCCCTGTGTAAGCCATAGGAGTAGTGGTAGGTAGGTAGTGAAGGTGAATTTAAAGAATTTGAAAGATGATGAAAGATTAGAGAGAAGAATGTAGCGTAGTTAAAAAAAAAAAAAAAAGCTAAATCTGGGTAGAATTTTGAGGTCCTCAGCCTCTGTAAATTTTAATTTAATATTGAGTGTATTCTTCATATATATATATATCGTCACAAACAGAATATATATATATATATATATATGATATCGTCAAACAGAATTGCCCGGTAAACCGTAGGCAGAGAGGGAGAAGAGGACAACAAACAAGGGGCTGTGACAAACTTTTTCGTCAGAGTTTCACCGACTCATCAGGAGGTTGAACCCTCAACAGTCTATATATATATATATATATATCGTCACAAACAGAACTGCCCGGTAAACTGTAGGCAGAGAGAGAGAAGAGGACAACAAACGAGGGGCTGTGACAAACTGTTTCGTCGGAGTTTCACCGACTCATCAGGAGGCTGAACCCTCAACAGTCTAGATATATATATATATATATGTATATATCGTCACAAACAGAACTGCCCGGTAAACCGTAGGCAGAGAGAGAGAAGAGGACAACAAACGAGGGGTTGTGACAAACGAGGGGCTGTGAAAGAGGATAGTTCCATATATGGCATGAGCAAAATCGAAATGAATCTTCCGCTATACTATGGAAATATTCAAACACTGCATATTTCACTGGAGGTTGGACTACACCTTTGTCTCACCGTGACTCTTATGAAGGCGGCGTCATACGTCACTTTGCATCACCATACACTTTATCCTGTACGACTCGGAGTCACGTTGTTGGCCTTGGTGCCACAGGTGCATTTTTTACGTCCGGCATGATTTTTTATGCAAATACATTCATTCATATTTTGAGAAGTACTAGAAAAAAAAAAAAAAAAAAAAAGTTTAGAAAAAAAAAATAAAAAAAATTAAAGGTGTTTACACTACCTAGCATGAGATGCACAAACAACCTGAGGTAGCAACCTCAGAGCGCAACCACATAACTTACACTTGTGATGATTTGATTGGTAAGTGGGAGCCATATACGAATACGTTTTAGCCATATTCTGGCGTAAGTGGCACCCACTTCCCAACCGTGTTGTTTTTTTCCATTCCTCACTGATGCTACCGGCTGACCCCAGGCTAGTATCGCCCACCTACTGTAGCAGGTATCGCACCTGCTGGTGGGTGCAGCTCCCGCATGTTCCCTCGCTGGAGGCTTGAGCATGGATGTGGCTGCTACGGGGTTTCCCGTAATACTATAATGAAAAAAAAAAAAGGCCTGAAGTGGGAGGGAAAAAAAAAGGGCACC